TCACTACAACGAAATTAGGTTTATATGACACATACAAAAAAAATAAAGCGTCCTAATATACCATTCCATAAGACTTAATTTATAAACGTCATATCTAAAGGTGTTGCAATAAGTTTATACGACGTTTTTAGACATCCTAATGAGTTTTTAGGATACTTATAATACGATATGTCACATTAGCAATATTATATGAAACTTTTTAAAAAAATTCTATAAAAAACAAGTGTCCTATAAAAAGATGAGTTTTTAGGAGGCTTAATTTTTTTGGCATCATGTAAAACTAATTTTTGTTGTAGTGATAGATTTTCTTAATTGTTTGAATAATCAGTGTTTTTCTAATCTTAATTTCTAATTTTTATTTTGTTGTTATTTTTATTATTTGTAGTTTGACTGCATATTAATAATCTCACGTTAACCGAACTTAATTTTCAATACTTTGTTCGCATATTTCAATTCTCAACCCAAAAGATATGTGAATTTATCTCGATTTCTTTTGTTTATTTAAGCTTGAGAATTTTTAGGGAAAAATACAATAAAAACCAATGGACTTTCTTGTTTGGAATGATTAAGTCCTTAGACTTTTTTTTGGAACAAATAAGTCCTTGGACATTCCAAAACATGTTAAATAAGTCATTGGACATTCCAAAATATGTTAAACAAGTCCTTGGACAATTTTTGGAACAAATAAGTCCTTGGACATTCCAAAAAATGTTAAATAAGTCCTTAGACAATTTTTGGAACAAATAAGTCATTGAACAATCCAAAACATGTTAAATAACTTCTTGAACTTTTATAAAACATGTTGGATACATTCTTATGACTTGTACAACTAGTTAAAGTGGTAAAATAGTGAAAAAAATCCAGAAAAAAAACCCAATGAACATTCATATTTTGAACGATTAAGCCCCWAAATATTTTTTGAACCAAAAAATATTTAGATCTATAAAATTAAACAAATATAACAAAAAAAGTACTTACATTTACAAAAAAAAATAATTACATTTAAAAAAGATATTTGATAAAGTTCATTTTAATTAAAATTAAAATATATTCTGTTAGTGATTTTTCAAACAAAAAAAAATAATTATTATTAAATTTATTTTAATTAAAAATATATATATATCATGTATGTGATTTTTTAAATTAAAAAAATATTTAAAAAGATTACTGGTGAAATTTATTTTAATTAAAAATAATATATTTTATAAATTTTTTTATTTTTTTAGTTTAAAAAATCACTGAAAAAATATATTTTCGGATTTTTTTCACTATTTTACCACTTTATCGTTCAAAATATGAATGTTCATTAGGGTTTTTTCCGGATTTTTTTTTCACAATTTTACCACTTTAACTAGTTGTACAAGTCATAAGAATGTATCCAACATGTTTTATAAAAGTTCAAGAAGTTATTTAACATGTTTTGGATTGTTCAAGGACTTATTTGTTTCAAAAATTGTCCAAGGAGTTATTTAACATTTTTTGGAATGTCCAAAGACTTATTTAACATATTTTGAAATGTTCAAGGACTTATTTGTTCCAAAAAATTGTCCAAGGACTTATTTAACATGTTTTGGAATGTCCAATGACTTATTTGTTCCAAAAAAAAGTCCAAAGACTTAATCATTCCAAACAAGAAAGTCCATTGGTTTTTATTGTACTTTTCCCGAATTTTTAACGCTAATTTTTTTTATGAATTTAATAGTTTTTAAATAAACGTAAGGATTTTTATTATTTAATATGTACTTTATTTTAAGAAATTTGATTTGTGATTAGATATATAAAATATATTTTTAATAAAAAAATATTAAACATAAACACATTAATTTTTAGAGCAGACTACATTGTTGGCCCCCGTAGCTTGTTCAAAGACCGTTAGTCCTTGATAACGGTGTTAACTAACTTTTTTGATGGAGAGATCATGGGTGTTGTAAAAATGCAAAGTTAGAGAGCACCATTGTAGATAGTTTGTTTTAGAGACGAGAATTTAGGCAAACTCTAAGAACCTCCTTGGCTATTTCTGGTAGATGTGGTTCGTCCCCACCCGAGTGCATATTTGTCTTGCGTTTTTGGTTTTTTGCTTGATAGGAGGGGTCTCCCCCCAACGAAGCCCTAAAGTTTTTACACATTTAAAAAAAAAAAAAGTAAATTGCATGAAAAAGTAACATATTTTAGCATGATTCTTATTTTGGGTAACGTACTTTCATGACTTTTATTTTGGTACCTAAGATGTAAAGTGTTAAATATTGAGGTACTCAGGTAACCGATTAAAGACTAATTTTAGATACAAATAATACTAATTTTAGAATTAAAAAAATCCAAGTCATTAACCACGTCAGCAAATAGTATTGAGTTGAATATCACATCACTTGTCACATAAGCATGATAACCAGTTAATGCTTCAACCCGTTACCCGAATACTTAAATGTTTAAAATTTTATATCTTAGGTACCAAAATGAAAGTTTTAATAATACTTTACCTAAAATAAGAATCAAGTTAAAGTACATTATTTTTTGATTTGATATAATTTATTTAAATGACATAAAAGAATGTAATAATATGAAAAACGAGGTGTTATTTAAAAATTAGTGTAAAACAAAATCGTACCGACCTCCACCTCCGCACACAGGAGTTTGTTGATTCAACAAACGGCTACCAGTGCTCCGAACACCCTCTCCTTCTCCATCTCTCTCTCACACACACAGTGTAGCTGTACGATTCTTCAGCCTTCTTCAAAACTTACACTCAAATCTTTGACGAATATTGAGTTTACGATTTCTAATCTAGTTTATCAAGAAATATACCTTGCATTTGAACGTGTAAGTTGAAATGCTGGCCAACTTTTGGATGTTTTGTTCATTGTTTTCGAGTCAATTTCAACTGAGCAAGTTTCGGTTTCTCGTAAATTAAGATCTGTTAATTTCTGCATTGTCCGAATCTCGCGAATGAAATGCTGTTGGAATTTTGCCGGAGAATGTTCTCAGCGCGTTGGCTGGAGAATTATGGCGACTCTGGAGCTCAACATTTAAACTTAAGAACTTCGGAACCGTAGTTTGAAGGTGAGTTTGCATTGAAATTCGCGCGTTCGTGTGTAATTTTGTTACGTGAAAAGTTCATTTACTGGTGTGCAATTTTATATTCAGATAGGTTAGGTTAGAATCTCTGCGCGTAATTTTGCTGGTCCAAGAGTTCATTTACTTGTATGCAATTTGGCTATGTGAGTTTAAATGTGTGTTTGTTATTCTGTTCGGTGAAAAATTCATCTACGTGCATGCCATTTGCAATTGAGCTACGCTTGCATAAAATCTGTATATCTGATTAGCAATTGAGCTACGCTAGCATAAAATCTGTATATCTGATTAGCAATCAATATGCATTCTGGTTATAAAAAATATTGTGTTAATGTCCGTAATTTAAATATACTTGGTCAAATGAGAGTTTTTCTGGGGAGGGGAAGAAATTTGATCCTAGTAAGAAATGAGATAAATAGTTGTGAAGTTTAATGGCTGAAAGTTGAGCAGATCTACTTAAGCATTTTGTGGAAACTTGATCCAGATGATATCACTGTTTGTTAAAAATGTAATCAACTGGGATTGTTACAGTAGTAGGTTTTCATGCATTTAGAGTTTTTTTAGTTCTTCATTGTACGGAAACAGTGTTATGATAGAGAGACAATGTGTGATTACTAATGTTAATTGCTTTTGAATAATAGAAATTTGGTAGGTTACCTGATTGAATTCATCTCAAACCTAGTTCACGTTCTACCCTCAAATCAGCAAAATTATTTATATAACTATATAGATATATGGCTCTTCACTTATATTATGGGAAATCTAGCAAGTTCTATTTATAACACTGATGTATGGAAAGTTCTGGTTTAACATTAGCTGATATGATTTTTATACATCATCAGATTGTAGCAATCAAATATGTTTGGTGGAGGGTTTTGCTGTTTGCAGCTTTCTTGTCGAAAATCTAGATTGATTTAAGTAATGCCATTTGATTTACAATATCATGGAGCCTGAAACCAACATCTGCTCAAACAATAAACACCTGTTTTTATTTTTCTTCTTTTTGTTTTGTTTCTTTTTTGATAGAAGATGGAAGAAACAAAAAAGTTACATGCTATTTTAAGTTCTCTCTTCTTAAAATCCTCTTAAACTTCTTGGTTTGGGCATTTGTTCCCTTTTCCCCTTCTGTCTAATTTTAGTTTTTCTTTTTCTTTTTCTGAGCAGCGGATGCTTTTGAAAGTGAATAAGTTATGATCCATGTATTATTTCATATCCTTTTTTATTCCTGTACTCCAGGATCAGTGGCTTGTTGTGGTTTCATAGTTCCATGGTAAAGTGGTCTTAAATTGGAAGCAAGTCTTTCATCATATAAAGAAAATGTTAAGTCAGTTGCAGGGTTTAGGTCCTGGTAGGTGGTAGCTGGTGCCACCCTATTGATATGTTATTATAACTTGCTGATCTTTCGAGTTGGCTTGCAATTTGTAGTGAACATATTATGACCTATTAGTCCGGCGATTTCATGTAAAAGCCCAACTGTAGGACAACCCTGACTTGCCTTTGGGTAACCCACTTTAGTTTCTATTCTATTCTTCTTAACTAGATTTTTATTGTCGGTAAGAAAATGGAGGAACATGTAGCTGGAACTCTTTGTGTGCTTGAACCTTTCAACATAAGGGACAGACCTTCTTGTTGTTGCTACTTGCTAGTGTAATATAGTCATGGGTAAAGGTTTCTTCTCCAGAATGAGAAAGTGTAATTGTGCATCATTTTCAGATAGATGTTCTAAATTCACTCTGATGATTTTGTTTCTTGTTCTTTGTGCTGCTGCCTAATGCGCATAGTTAACATTTTGTGCACTTGTATTCTTTCTTGTCAACCTTTGGTTGCATAGCAAATGAAGTACTATCTAAATCTTCTGTTTGTGTGTGCAGAACCAGGAGAATCCCCTGACGTGAATCACCATAAGCTTTGTATTGGGTAAACAGTTCCTCATGAAACTCTGCTCTGCTCAACTGCTTTTAATACTTTTCCTTCTGCCTCTGGCATGTGCTGACTTGGACTCAGATAGACAAGCTCTTCTTGCATTTGCTGCTGAGGTACCTCACGGTCCAAAGCTCGACTGGAACAATGCTACCTTCATCTGCACTTCATGGAGAGGCATTACCTGTAGCTCTGATGGCACCCATGTGCTTATTGTTCGACTTCCTGCCGTTGGACTCACTGGCCCAATACCATCCAATACTCTTGGAGAGTTGGATGCATTGAGAGTTCTAAGCCTCAGATTAAATCGCCTCAATGGAACTTTACCATCTGATCTCCTTTCCCTTCCTTCTCTCCGCTCTCTCTTCCTTCAACATAACAACTTCACCGGCAACATTCCAGCCTTCTTTCCTCGCCGACTGCATATATTGGATCTATCCTTCAATTCCTTCACCGGAAATATCCCAGCAACCATCCAGTATTTGACACGCCTAACTGGATTATACCTCCAAAATAACTCCCTCTCTGGTCCAATTCCAAATGTCACATTCTTAAAACTCAAACATGTGGACATGAGCTACAATAATCTCAACGGCTCTATTCCATCTTCCTTAGAAGCTTTCCCGTATTCATCATTTACAGGGAACCCGTTCTTATGTGGACTACCTGTGAATTCTTGTTCCCTCGATTCTTCTCCTCCTTCTCCTTCTCCTTCTCCAAGCAGCAGCTCCAAAAGGAAATTTCCATTATGGGCTATAATAGACATTGCAGTTGGAGGGGGTGTGGCAGTGTTGCTGTTGGTTGGTCTCTTGGTTTTCTGCTGCTATGCTAAGAAAAAGACTAGTGATGCAAGTAGGTAGCGAAGCGGGGAGTCTTTCACTGGTAGAGGATTCGGAATCAGACCGAACCAGCCTTGTTAACTGGTATGCTACTAATCACTGTGTTTAGAAATACAACTTCACACACACACACACATACATATATAGATGACACTTTAACCATCTTTTCTTGCACAAAATGGAATCTTGTAGCTTATATCTTTCTCTTTAGATTTTCCTTGTCTACTTATGTAGTGTAAGTAAGTAACTTTACCAAAAGTTTAAGTCAGCTAATTTTTTACTCTTTCTTGCTTTAAATAACATGACTACAATCCTTCATCAGACTTATTTCTTAATACACTATCAGTATAACAAATATCAAAGATTGCATTTGTAGAAAGTGTCTTGTATAAACATCATGAAACACAGGTAGGTGCAGATAGAGATGTCCAAAATCCGGTCCCTGTCCAAGATTTCTTTTTTGTAAATGGTCCCGGTCCCGATTCCGATTCCGACCAAAACTCCCAGCCCGTTCTCCATGTAAAAAGCCTGGTCCCAGGCCGGATCCAAATTGATCCAACCTTTTCTTTTCCCAAAAATCAATTTTAAACGTATAAAAAATCGTGTATGAATATATTTTTTTGTATAATATCTTATTGAAATACACTTTAAAATCTTTAAGTGGGTCAGTCAAATACACTCAAAATCTTTTTTTAAATCTTTTTCACACAAAAATGTTATAAATGTTTCTATAATTACAATTTTTTAAATTCATTATTGGAACACTTATAAAAGTTCAAAATGAACTTGGAAAGCTTTTAAAAAATTGAAGATTTTGGTATTAAAAAAAAACTTTTAGAAATCTTGAAAAACTTAATGTATAGTTTATAAAAATGTATTTTTTTTAAAATCCGGCCTATATATAACTAGTCCTGCTCCCGGCTCCGTAAACCGGTCTCGGACCAGGCCTTGGATTTTCGTAAAATCGTAACC